TTTTGTGTCTGTGTGTGTGTGTTTGGCTTTAGTGTTTTGCCCGTGTGGTGACGTTTCGTGCTTGTGGAAAAAAATGGGGGTGGGGGTTGTGTGAGATGTCGTTCTTATTTTTATTATTATTATTTTTTATATAAAAAAGTTTTTTTTTTTTTTTAATTGTTTTTTTTTTTTTTTTGGGGGGGGGGTTTTTTTGGGGGGGTTTTTTTGGGGGGGGGGGGGGGGGGGTTTGTGTTTTTTTTTTTGGAAGTTTTTGTTTTGGGTTTTTTTTTTTTTTTTTTTTTTTTAAAAATTTTTTTTTTTTTTTTTTTTTTTTTTTTTTTGGGGGGGGGTTTTTTTTGGGGGTTTTTTTTTGGGGGGGGTGGGGGGGGGGGTATGCGAGTTTTATCGGGAAGTTATGGTGAGGGGGGTGATTATCGTGTGGTGGCTATAAAAGAGTTGTTGTTTTTTATTTTTATGTGTGTGCGTGTGTGCATATAAGTGTGTGTGTGGGTATGAATCAGTATGTGTGTCTGTGTGTGTGTATTGTGCGTGTGCTTGTGTGTGGGATTAGTATTCGGAGTGTATTATTTGCATGTACGTTTGTGTTATGTGTGTGTGTATCCGTGTGCAGGTTTGACTGAGGTGCTTTGCATTTGCGTATGTGTGTGTGTGTGTGTGTGTGTATGTGTGTGTGTGTGTGTATGTATGTATATTTGTGTGCGTATATGTGTGTGTGTGTGTGTATGTATGTCTGTGCATGTGTATGTGTGTGTGTTTATTTTTGTGCGGGTTTGACTGGGCTGGTTTGTGTTTGTATGTGTGTGTGTGTGTGTGTGTGTGTGTGTGTGTGTGTGTGTAGGTTTGCCTGAGCTAGTTTGTATGTGTGTGTGTGTGTGTGTGTGGGTGTGGGTGTGTGTGTGTCCCTCCCACTTTCCCTCGTAATGGAGGTGGTGAGGGGGACAGGTTCAGATGTTGGACCTGTCCCCCTCTCAGGTTTTTGGTCCTCTATCTGAACCGGCCATTTATTTACTGTTTTTTTGCCAACACACTCGAGTGATTCTTATATTTTATGAGGTCAGTTGTGCAAGTAGTTGGGCCGTCGTCCGTGCTGAGCATCTAAAGGGTTGGTAACATGTAGGGTTTTGCAGGAGGTTATTAACTATCTGAATGCATCGGTGTGTGGGAAAGTCATTATGGGTTAGCGTGGTTATTAGCTCCATGATATTTTGGACAACATTTGCTGGGTCGTTCTCAATGGTCATGATAGTGACGACTTGGGGGATACGTGTTTTCAGAGATTGTGCGATGGGTCTGTTGGAATTGAACTTGAGTAGTTTGATAGTGTGAAAGTTTAATAGCGTTTTTTTGTCAAATTTTGTCGTGATATAGGTCCCGTCGATGGGGTGTGAGATTTTTATTTTGACATACAAGAAGTTGCATTCAGTGCCGATGTCCGGTTGGTCTTGAGTAGAGGTATATTTTGTTTGGTCGTTGATTGTGACATATTTAAGTGGATATAGGAAGTATGTGCTTCGGGGGGAGGTTATTGCGGGATTAAAGAACTTGTGGATGAGGGGTTTGTTAATAGAGTGGAGGTCGTCAAAGTATCTGAAGGTATTGGCGAAGAGGGGGAGTAGGGGGAGATTTCTTTTGTGGCAGAGTTTCCTCATGAATTTATATTCGTATATGAAGAAGTAAATATTGCACCAGCTAGGTGCGCAACTGACACCCATGGGGATGCCAAGCTTTTGTCTCCATGTGTGGTTGCCCAGGGTTGTGTATGCATTATTGATCAGCCAGGTGTTCATGGTGATGATGTTCTCTGGTGTGAGAACAAGGTGGTTGTGTTGGGCAGGTTGAGCCCAAAAACAATCGAATTTATAATCATTGTTGATGTTCTTGATTTTGTAGTATAGGGTGGTGTTTCTTCCGTTGGTCTTCCTGGCTTGGGAAAATGCCAGGTGAACAAAGAACTTGATCGCATGTGGGAGGCCGTCCGTAGAGTCATCAGTGGGGATTGTCTCGTAGCATCTTGTGATGTCTGCGGAGAATATGTAATTAATGTTGGGTGGGAGATTGTATACGTAGTCAGATGTGGAATCAATGATCCACCAGAATGAGACATTATGTCCAGTTTTTTCCACAGTGTTGTGGGAGAGGTTGCCACAGTGTTGCTGGACACTGTGTCATCGGGCAGGGTGTGAAGTCTGGTCCAGATAGTCGTAGGAGCGCAAGGTAGCGGAGGAGATTGGCGCAGCAGATTATGGGAGTATTGGGTGCTTTGTCTGCTCCTGCAATGTAGAAGTGGTTGGTAAGGAATCTGAGTTCGTGTTGAAGAGCAGGGTTAGAGAGGTTGGGGACTGGTTTCTTTGGGAATCTCCGTAGGCAGTTGTTGAGTGTTTTCTGGAGCTGTTGGGTTGCAACATCCAGTTGTACCGTTGTGACATTTGCAGTTTTTAATATGTCTAAGGTTTGTTCCCATGCATGTATGCATTCTAAGCGTACTGGTTCTGGGTCTATGGGCGTAGGAGGGATGAGGTTGAGGCCATTGTTGACGAGTGTTCTTACGTCGGTATGGCTTATGATGTTGGTGTCTAGTGTTACGACATGGGCGGGCATGTGATCGGGTAGGACTCCATCTGCAAGTTTTTCTGTGTATTTTTGCCATCTGTTGTGTTGGCAGAAGCACGGTTGGTTTTGTTGCATCTGCCAGTCTTCCAAGTTGAATTTTTGAAAAATGGCAGCAAGTCTGTATAGTAGTTTGGAGATGTGGTTGTCGTATGTCCATCCGTATGTTATGTCGTTGAGGACATGGGCGGCTTGAGGATAGTGTTGGTTCAGAATGTTTGTGAAGAGGGTTTTAGGCTTAATTCTTTCAAAGAGTCTGTTGTGGTAGTGGAGGTGAATGATGTGTTTGAGGGGGTCCTTGTTGCGACGCCTACCCAATCTTCCGTGTGGTGTTCGGAGTAGTTCGCCAGTTTGGACCTGCATTCATACACAAAGAGGGGGGGGTTGTGTTTTTCTTTTTTAAATCGTCAGTTTGAAATGCAAATTTAAGACTTTTATATATATATATAGTTTGTTCATATGTAGATTAGACATAAAGCAAATTTTTGGGGGGGTAGGCATGGACCAATGGTAAGGGCTGAGGTTTTTCATGCAGTTTTTTTTTTAAAAAAAAGGGGGGTTTGTTTATTGTTTTGCTCAGACGGTGATCATCAGATGGGTTATCCTAGGTATGGGGTTTAAAACAGGGGGACCATGTGTTTACAGGTTTGCTGTGTATGGGGTGGTGTATGCCTTCTACGTTCCGGGTTTTTACCGGAGGTGGGAGATGATAACTCGAGGTAGTAGTCAGGGGAACCGAAGCAAAAACAACTTAATTTCAGCTATTATTCTAGTGGAGAGATATCAAAAAAAGCAAGGAAGGAAAGAAAAGGAAAGATTTTACCGAAGAATTATTGTAAACAACGGAAGTAACCAAACAAGGCCGCCAGATCATTAATCTCATAACTCAGTAAGTATCCAAGCAAGTAATGTACTGGGATCCGGATTATTAAACTCAGAACTCGATAAGTATCCAGGCAAGTAAAATACTGGGATCGTGTTTTCCTATCACTTGTGAGAGTTGCCAAAGTGTCTGGCAGTGCCAGTACCTGCTTTTATTACGAAAAAAGTCAACAGAGGGGAGAGAGAGAGAGAGAGAGAGAGAGAGAGAGAGAGAGAGAGAGAGAGAGAGAGAGAGAGAGAGAGAGAGAGAGAGAGAAGGAGAGGGAGAGAGGGAGAGCAGGGATGAGCGAGGGAGAGGAGAGAGAAGAGCGAGAGCATAGGCTGCATGATTGGGGGAGAAATGTAGGATTAGATTATGAGATCAAGGAGAGAAGCGGGCGAGAGTAGGGGACTTAATCTAGTTTCAGCTACCAACACCGGTTGACTGAGTCAGCATTGGTTGAGAAAATGTAATTAGAGGAGGAGCAAGTCATGCTCAGGGTGGCTCGTGGGCGTTCTCAGGCGTCTCGTGTCAGAGCTTGGATGGCGAGGCTAGTAGCGGCAGAGTTACCATCTTGGACTTGGCAGCTTGTAGTTGCTGGTCTTTCTTCATGCAATGCTGTCGCTCCTCAGTGTGCCGTAGCTGTTGGATGGCCTTCCGCTGGGTGTCGTCCAATACTCGTTGCTGAGTTCCGATGGTTCTTAGTTGTCTGTAATGGTGAATCTTTCCTGGTCAAACCTTTCGTTGAGCCTTCGTCTGATAGATTTCGACTGTGCTTGTGTGGGGGGGGTTTCCTGGACGATGTCCGTGCTGTAGCTCTCATCAATCTCAGGGTTCATGATTGAGCTTTCAACGTCGTATGGTTCAAGGAGAGAGCTGATGGGGTTGACTGCTCGCGGTGGTGTGTTTGTTGAGGGGGAGCCAACGTCAATGGGGTTTTGTGCACGGGATCCTCGGAGGTGTGCAGGGGGAGGGGGGTTTTCTGCAGGAGGTGTGTGTTGTCTGGTGTTTTGTGTTAGGAATTGGTGGATTGAGGGTAGCCAGGAGGTGCGTTGGGATGGGGGTTGTGAGGAGCTGGGTCTGTTGATCAGATGGTTGGCTGGGAGGGGTAGGAGTGGGGATCGTTGGGGTGGAGGTGAAGTGAGAATGGTGTCGAGGAATTGACGTGCCTGTGCAGCGGTGGTTTGTGGTTGGGGGGGTGGGGAAGGTGTTGGGAGTCCTTGTTGTGGTGGTTGTGTTGTCTGTGGGGGCTGAAGTGGTTGTTGTGGTTGAGCCATGGGTGCATTCTGTGGTTGGTGCTGTGCTTTTTTGGAAGCTGCAAGTTTTTCCTATCTTTTTTGCCATCTACCCTTCTGTGATCTTTTGGTTGTGGCAGGGTTGTTTCTTTCCTTTCTTGCTCTGTGGATAGTTGTTGTTCTGTGTGCAGCAAGCTGTTCCGTGGGTGGAGGGGGGTGGTTGGTTTGTTGTTGTTGTGTGTGTAGCGGGGAGTGGTGCTTGTGCGGGCGTTGGGCGTTCCTGCACGGGGGTGTGGGTCGGTGGGGGGTTGCCATGGTGGGGCACAGGTGTCGGGGGGCGAGAGGTGGGGGTGGGGAATAAGATGGTGGGTTGCCGGTGCCTGCTCCTTTGGATGATGTCAGTGGGAGGGCTCTTGCGTTTGTTGGGGACTGGGGGTGTTGTCTCTGCTTTCCTACTCGCTGGGAGGAGGGTTGCGGAGAAGGAATTGGCGAATGGCATAGTGTTGTATGGGGCTCTGTTGGTGAGTTGTTCAACTGTCTGTGTGGGGTTATCTGTGATCAGATGAGTGAGATTCATCATGTGTCTCCTCATATAAAGGAATGTGACCTGTAACTTGACAGGTTGCTTCCATTCGTTCTGGAGCTTGTCAAGGAGCTCCATCCATCTCATTCTGTCAGTAGGGGTGTCAACTTCGAATAGATCGAGGTTGGCAATGTAGAACCAGAGCATGTGGTCAAACCACGTGATTGATCTGGTCTGTGAGGGGCAGGCACATCGGAGGTACGGTCTACCGGAATTCCACAGTTTCTTGAATTCGAAAACGTCAGTGGTGGGCTTCTGGATGCTCTTGGTGTGGAGGACAGGGTGACATTTGGAGCATTTGGAGTTGTCGAGAGGTGCAAGGGTGGGAAAATTACAGTCAAGATGTGCTGTGTTGGGGGGGAAAGGAATGTTGCCTATGGCGGCATCTTTCCTGCATTGTTCGAGATCCTGGGCTGTGAGGTCTGCGAGTGCAGCATATGCCTGAATGGAGATAGGAGCAGTGTGGTTGAAGGAGTCCATCTTCCACAACTTGTTCTCGACCTGAGAGCTGTGGTTTTCGATCCAGCGGAGTGTTTGGAGTGGGATGAAGGGTGCATCTGGTGACATTTTGAAGGTGTTAGTTTTCCGTGTGGAGGAGGACGATGGTGTGGATTGTGAGGCCATTAGTTGTTTCCGTGCCATTTTTTTGAGGAACCATTCCTTTTCAGTGTGTGTGACATTCATGTGTTCAAGCAGCTTGAGCTTGTGAGCGTTAGCCTCATCAGAGGTGACAACATCACCTGTGATTGTGATGTGGGCGGAGCTGAATCCGTGTAGGTCCCGGATAGCTTTCTCAGTCATGGCGACGATTTTCTCCGTCTCACGATTTTGCTTAAGAGCTTGGTTGACAATGTCCCGTGCATAGGTCTTGATGGTGAGTTCTTCTTCTCCTAGGAGAGACTTCCATTTGCCGAAGATAATTGTCAGTCTGAAAACAGGAGGTTTTCAACGAGGAACGGGGCTTGCGAGTTGGTTGCTTCGTGTATCTTGTGGAGAACGGCTTGTGGAATTGCGAGCATGACAATCTGTGCATGTACGCTTGGCGGGGTAAGGTGGATGAAGGTGCTGATATTTGAAATCAGCTCCGTATGCCAGCCCTTGCTGTAGTCGGACTCATCCTGCACAGAAAAAGACACATGGGGAGTGCGGAGACATTGCGCGTAGATTATTAGTATGTTGACCTAGTGTATGAGTTAAAAAGTGTCATTTTTGCAGTGAGATGCAGGCGGTATGGGGTGTCATCAATCAGCCTCAGGTCTGTTTACCCATAGTAGTGTGGGGATGTGCGTGTGTGTGTGTGTGTGTGTGTGTGTGCCATTGTGTGGGACCAGGAGTAGCGTTTAGTGACATTGTCCGGGTGTCGGTTTGTGAGGGTATATGTTTGCGGGGGTCCCAAATTGAGTTTTTTTTTTTGGGGGGGAGTTTATTTTTGGGGGTATACAGGGGATGGTTTGCGTAGGGGTTCAAGGGGGGTGAGTTGGTTTTGCTGAGGGTGTCTGGGCGTGGGGGTTGTGGGTTTGTGTTGGTTGAGCGGTGTTATTTGTTTTGTAGGTGAAGGTGTGTGTTGTTTGGAGGTATCAAGCAGACGAGTTTTTTTTAAAAAAACGTCAGCAGTAGAGAAACGAGGTGCTTGTGACAGACTGTTTTGTTGGAAGTTTCACCGACCGATCAGGAGGCTGACTCCTCATGTATATTTATATATATAAAGAAAGAAGTTTTTACATTTGGGGGGTTGGGGTCGGAGGAGTGTGGTTATTGTGTTGTTATAACCATGGGTATGTTTGGAATGCGATCATATTATTATTAAAATATTATTTTTGTTTTTTTTAACAAAAAAGGAACGCTAATTTTGGTTTTTCCTGTTTTGTGGCCGTCAATTTGACCGGGTCAAGATATTGACAAGGTTGGTTTCTTGCTAGGTTCAATCTTTGGGTTCTGCATGGTACATATCTTTTGTTGGTAGATGTGACGTGTTAGGGAGGTTCTTTTTATAAAAAGGATCATTTGCTGCTCGTTGGATATGCATTGTTGTGTTCGGTGAGCAGAACATCTGTTGGAGCTGTTTCTTTGTAGGAGAGGGAGGAGGATAGTTGTTGAAGTTGAGAGCGGTTTAGGATCTTCCAGTGGGGATTGACAATTACTTTTTGGTGGGCGAGGTGTGGACATGGCGGCCGCATTGGTGTGTCGTGGGCACGTGTGTGGACGCACGGTGATGGTGTATGAGTTGACGGAGGAGCGGGATCAACCATCGACTCGGGTTTTTGATTTTGTCTCGTCTGTTACTAGACGGGGCTATCGACTGTATGAGGTGGATGCTCGTGGGGATTGCGTGTTGCGTATTGCAGTTGGTTTGGGGTATGTGGAGGCGGATTTGCGTGATGTCGTTGTATATGTGACCAAAATGCATGATGACGTTCCAAATGTTCCGACGGGGGCTGGGGATGATATCGTGGACAAGATTGTGCAGTTATTGCTATTGACAGTGGCTGCGGAACACGATGGGCGGATGGCAGGGTTAGTGGAGTGGGGGGCAATTTTGGATGAGCCACTGTCAGATCGTTACTATATGCATGGCGAGATGAGGGCGGATATGTAGGTTGGCATGTAGGGGGGATTAGCACCGGGCTTGTGATGGTTAGGATTGTGAGGGAGAATCGGCTATCGGGTCGCGCATGCCATCATCGGGTACAGGCGGAAGGTGCGCATAGGGTTGCTGTGGTGTGGGGGTGTATTCTCGTATTTCATGCCGAAGAAATTTTTGGAGGCGCAAGTGGAGAGATTAATCCATTAGGCGCAGAGTTGGCCCATGTTCGAGGGGAATTCCAGTTTGAAAGTGGGCATAGCGAGTTGGTGGTGTCGTTTGCTCCACTTCGACGCACGCTAGAGTGATATGCGGTTTTTTTTTGAAGAAGTGTGTTGCGGGAGGGTTTTTTTGCTCTTGTTGGGGTGACTCATGGATTATAGGTAGGGTGTCTGGCGTAGACGGGTGGTCGATGAGTTGGTGCAGTTTGGTTGTTCTTAGTATGTTGTGGATCATACGTGGGGTGTTCGTTGGTTAATCTTACGCATTCGGGGTTTGCATAGAACGCATGAGGTCGAAATGGGGGAGGGGGAAAGAAAGACCAATTAGTCTGTAAATTGTTCAATTTCCGACTATGTTCTCCGCTTCTTCTTCGGGGAGATTTTCCCAGGGTAATTGTTACATGTATCGGATTTGTGAGATATTCGAGGAGCGGTGCTATCACTTTTTTTTGGTGATTGGCGAGTATCCATGGTTACAAGGGTAATCTTAGTGTGGTATGGGGAAGTAAGGAGTAGGATGATTTTTGGGTATTGGGGGGTGGGGGTGATTAAGGATTAATCTTGAACTATGAATCGGTTGACAATCACTCTGGCAAAAACATATCGAGAATATGACATCATCATCTAGCATTGGTTTCTATAGCATAGGTTGTCATGTTGTCTCTATTGGGGATGACTCTGTGTTGTGTTGTAATCTGGATTCGGTCGAGAGGATCGAAGTAGTAGTGTGGGGGAGGTGCGTAGCCAAGGGTTGGGTTGAGGATTAGTAATAGAGTTGAGAGGCATCATATAGGTCAAGGGTTGTTTTACGTTGATTGTTGTTAGGAGGGTGGCTGTAGAGGGACGGAGGAAGACGTGGGGAGCATAAAAAGGTGTTCGAGATAACTGTCGGGAATATGGGGGCGGATTCATCATGATGATGCAGATGGGAAGGATCAGAATGTGTTCGAAGTAAAAAAAGTGAGGTAGTGGTTATAAGTAAATGAATGTATACAGAGGAATCACTTATGTTGTAGTAGTGACAAGACGGTACTTTGTGTGTCATCCGAATCGAAGAGTTCGGGCGGGTGGGGTAGATAGGTGTGCAACTAGTTTAAATAATCCATGATTGGAAGAGGGTTTATGTTGCGAGTTGTGTTAGCAAGTATCAAGGGATATATTGTACGAGGGTTTTTTTATCGGGAAGGCGAGAGGTGGGTTTGGATGTCATGTTAAATCAACTGTTTAGTTTCGAGGTGGTAAATAAGGGGGAAATGAAATTAGAGTAGGACATAATCCTGTAATGGCAAGGGGCAGAGTTTGGAGTTTGGGGGAGTTTATGCTTTTGTGCATCTCGGGAATGTGTAGGAGGAAAATGATGATTGATCGGGCGCAGGTTTTTTTTAACAAAAAAAATATATACATATATCTTGGGTAGAGGAAGATGGATTTAACACGGGAATTGTGTTCCTGGTGAACAGCGCTTGCTATATCTCGCCTGCTATGTTGGACTCGGATGGTTTGGGAGGTCCCATCTGGAAAAACATCAATGATTTTTTCTAAAAAAAAAAAAGAAAAAAAAACAAAACAAAAATTACGTGGAAGCGGGGAGAAATGAAGTACGCTGGGGGGAGTCGGGGGGTGGGGGGGTTTTCACGGGGGAAGTAAGAAGTGGCATGATGAGGGAAAGAGAGGGATGGCAAAGGGGGCGGAGGGGGGGGGGGGGGGGTGGAAGAGATTGCGTGGGGGTAGGAGGTAGTACGTGAGGGAATGGGTGTGTGCCATTGGTCATCTAGGCAAAAGTTTAAACAGTTTAGCTTGTTAGAAAAAAAGTTTGTTTTTAATACGGGAATTGTGTTTATGGTGACCAGTGCTTGTTTTGTATCGCATGGTATGTTGGATTTCGGATGGTTTTGCCAAGTCCTATTCAGGAAAAACATCAACGATTTTTTTCTAAGAAAAGAAAACAACCATTGCGGGGAGAGAAGAAGCATACTGGGGGGAGTAGGGGGGTGAGGGGTTGTTCGGTGGGATGATAAGGGGAAAAAGAGATGGTGGAGGGGGCGGAGGGGTGGGGGTAGGGGGAGAGAGGGATATTGCATGGGTGTATATTGGGGGGAAAAAGGAATTGGGGGTGTGTGTGTCATTGGTCATCAAGGCAAGAATTTAAATAGTTTGGCTTGTAGATTAATACAAGATGGTTTAAACACGGGAAATGTGTTCATGGTGAATCAGCGCTTGTTTTGCCTCGCATGGTATGCTGGTCTTCGAGTGGTTTTGGCGGGTCCATTCATATATATCAGAAATATTTATATATATATATATATATATCATCGATTTTTTCTAAAACAAGAAAAGAGAGAACAGTGGGGG